ACAGTGAGTGGGTCTCTGGGGCCCTGAGGAATATTTCAGCACCAAAGAAAGTTAATTTGAGATTTGGCAGGACCAACCACGCAAAGATACAAAATGTGTTTCTGATATACGCGCAGCCACGTGCTCTTCAATAGTGTGAATTAGTTATTTTGATAAAAGCAAACAATTACAATAAGTTAACCATGGCATAAGTCCGCATTGTTTTATACTGTATAGTTTGCTAAAGAATGAGTTATTTCATTAAATCTTTTTGCCACAAGGACCCAGAAAAACACGTAACAACAATATACAAAATTACGAAAAATAGCACCCGCAAATAACAAACTAAGATGTAAGTTACACGATAAGTAAAGAAAAAAGAAAAATAGTCGAGATGAACATGCCGTAAGGTATTTCTGAATGAAAGTTTTCATCATATGATAAGCAATTCATGGTAAACGACAATACTACCTGTGCAAGATAAAGACATAAACAACGGTCTTACAAATATTTTTTTAAAAAACAAAAAGAAACACAACAAAAAGTGTAGCAACCAGAGGGAAGATTTGTGAGTGTCTTACCTCAATAGATTGACCCAGAGTGTCAAATGGATCAGCAAAGTCTGATGGACTTTTCTTCAGAGTCTGGTCAGCAGGCAGCGTGTTGTCATTGTAAGTCAAAATGCTGTGCAAAGGTACATCTTACAAAAGAACAACCATTTCATTTTATCAGTTGACAACAACAACGTCGATCTTGTACTGGAAAATAAACTCGATCGAGAAAAGCAAAAGGAGATTAATTTACTCATCACAGCTTTGGACGGTGGATCTCCTCAGAGATCAGGTACCGTAGTCATACACGTCACTGTGCTGGATGCTAATGATAACGCCCCAGTGTTCAGCCAGGCCGTTTATAAAGCCAGTCTGCCTGAAAACTGTCCTTTAGATACAACAGTGATTAAAGTCAGTGCCACAGATGCAGACGAAGGAGTGAATGGAGATGTAACGTATGACTTCGGTCATATATCTGACAGCGATGATAAAGTTTTCTCTATTAATCCTAAAACTGGAGAAATTAAAGTGTGTGGTTTGATTGACTATGAAGAAAAAAGTTCTTTTGAAATGAAAGTGCAGCTAAAGATGGTTTAGGGTTAACATCTTATGCCAAAGTTATAATAGATGTTATTGATAATAATGACAACTCGCCAGATATATACCTGAAGTCACTGTCAAATCCCATTCACGAGAATGTGCCACCTGGTACAGAGGTGGGATCATTAACGTGCAGGACAAAGACTCTGAGAATAACCGACAGGTCCGCTGCTCCATCCAGCAGGGTGTCCCCTTTAAGTTGGTTCCTTCTATTAAAAACTATTATTCTCTGGTGACCACAGGACAACTGGACCGTGAACTAGTGTCTGATTACAACATTACAATCACTGCCACTGACGAGGGCTCTCCACCTCTGTCCTCTTCTAAAAGTGTTCAGTTATCTGTAGCTGACATCAACGACAACCCACCTGTGTTTGAGGAACAGTCGTACAGCGCATATGTGAGTGAGAATAACAAACCGGGCTCCACTTTATGTTCCGTTAGTGCTCGAGACCCCGACTGGAGACAGAACGGTACAGTGGTTTATTCTCTGTTAGCTGGTGAGGTGAACGGTGCCCCGGTGTCCTCCTATCTGTCTGTGAACGGAGACACGGGTGTGATCCACGCTGTGAGGTCGTTTGATTATGAACAGTTCAGGAGTTTTAAAGTCCACGTGATGGCCAGAGACAACGGTTCTCCTCCTCTCAGCAGCAACGTGACCGTGAGTGTGTTCATCTCAGATGTGAATGACAACTCTCCTCAGATCCTGTACCCCTCCCCGGAGGGCAACTCCTTCATGACCGAGCTGGTCCCCAAAGCTGCACACGGAGGCTCTCTGGTGTCCAAAGTGATCGCGGTGGACGCGGACTCCGGACAGAACGCCTGGCTGTCCTATCAAATAGTCAAATCCACTGATCCGGGACTTTTTACTATTGGTGTCCACAGCGGAGAGATCAGGACACAGCGGGACATTTCTGAATCTGACAGCATGAAACAGAACCTTGTAGTGGCAGTGAAAGATAACGGACAGCCCTCTCTGTCTGCCACCTGTTCCATGTATTTACTTATTTCTGATAACTTGGCTGAGGTGCCAGAACTGAAGGATCTGTCTTATAATGAGAGCAATTCCAAACTGACCTCTTATCTGATCATCGCGCTGGTGTCTGTGTCCACGTTTTTTCTGACTTTCATCATCATCATCCTGGGTTTGAGGTTTTGTCGCAGGAGAAAGCCCAGACTGTTGTTTGATGGAGCAGTTGCCATCCCCAGCGGTTATCTCCCTCCTAATTACGCAGATGTTGATGGCACAGGAACTTTACGCAGCACTTACAATTATGACGCGTACCTGACCACAGGTTCAAGAACCAGTGACTTTAAGTTTGTGACATCATACAATGACAACACGCTGCCTGCTGACCAGACTCTGAAGAAAAGTCCATCAGACTTTGCTGATATTTCACTGGAATCTATTGAGGTAAGACACTCACAAATCTTCCCTCTGGTTGCTACACTTTTTGTTGTGTTTCTTTTTGTTTTTTAAAAAAATATTTGTAAGACCGTTGTTTATGTCTTTATCTTGCACAGGTAGTATTGTCGTTTACCATGAATTGCTTATCATATGATGAAAACTTTCATTCAGAAATACCTTACGGCATGTTCATCTCGACTATTTTTCTTTTTTCTTTACTTATCGTGTAACTTACATCTTAGTTTGTTATTTGCGGGTGCTATTTTTCGTAATTTTGTATATTGTTATCGTGTTTTTCTGGGTCCTTGTGGCAAAAAGATTTAATGAAATAACTCATTCTTTAGCAAACTATACCGTATAAAACAATGCGGACTTATGCCATGGTTAACTTATTGTAATTGTTTGCTTTTATCAAAATAACTAATTCACACTATTTAAGAGCACGTGGCTGCGCGTATAGCAGAAACACATTTTGTATCTTTGCGTGGTTGGTCCTGCCAAATCTCAAATTAACTTTCTTTGGTGCTGAAATATTCCTCAGGGCCCCAGAGACCCACTCACTGTAATTGTTCTCTCTCTCCCCCTCTCTCTGTCTCCCTGTCTTTCCCTCTCTCGCGCGCGCACTCTCTCTATAGTTGTGCTCTTTCATTTAAATCGACGTCATTTCTAGTAATTGTCTGCGACCATTGATATTATTAATAATATTGATAATAATTATAATAGACATTCGTGTTGTTATTTACTGAATTCTTTTTATTTTGCCGAGCTCAGCTCTGAATATGAAGTAGTCGGATATACCATTTTACATTTGAGTGATTTTTAACCTGGTATTAGCGAAGGTAAAAGAGTCTTAACAGAATTTTCTGTCAGGTTTATCTATGTGACCTTCAAAATAATAGCAATATCTACATACAACAGTTTGTTATTCATTTCTTCTTCTTTCACAACGATGTAGAAACATTAGCTTAATTGTATCTAGAACGTTCGGCCCGCAAATCAAATGCTCTTCAGTTCAGTTGTGTTCTGTGAACGAAGAACACAAGATGTGTTATATGATGAGCCTGTGTATAGGTTATGTGCCTGAGGTAAATGAATGACATTTTATCACATACAGCAGATGTGTGTAGACATTTCTTGTTTGCCACTATATACACTCGTTAATTGTTTGTAGTTACAAACTGATTATAAAATGTTTACTGGGGAGGTACTTGTTACTGTTCTTCATGCACAAGTGCTATGATGTTAATTGTCATCAGTAAATCGTGAAACACTATTTTTTTTTCTTTTAGTTAGCGATTTCTCGTAGTTTTGGTGTTTTCAATAAGCTTGTGTTTTGAAACCAATTCAAAGTTTATTTAACAATAAGTGAACATGACTTGTGTTTTCAGACATCGACAAACATATTTAATCACCTAGTGTGAGGATAAAAGGCAACTCGTGGTGTCGCTGTTGGCTGATAGCACACTGACACACACCACTCCACCCACTGCTACTACACAGATGTCGACTGTAATTCCCTGAGAACCAGTTACGTTTGCAGACATGTTTCTCCGTGTTTCATCGTGATATTACACTTTGGATTGTTGAATCGGTTACGAATCACGTTGTTGTTTTTGCTCTGGAAAGTGCATCAGAAGCACTGCGGTCACGTTTTTGTATCAGGATGAGAGACAAAGGATTTTCAGGCCCGATCTATTGCCTTGCTACGTTTATTGTAACGATGCGCCTCGTAAGCGGGGATCTGAGTTATTCTTTTGCCGAAGAGATGAAACGCGACTTCGTTATTGGAAATATAGCTAAGGATCTCGGTATTGACCGTGGAAGTTTTTCTTCACGACAGGCCCGTGTTGATTTTGAAGGATTTCGTAAAATGTATTGCGACATTAACATTAGTACTGGGGATTTTACTATGATGGACAGAATTGACAGAGAGAACCTTTGTGGCAAGAAACCTTCCTGTGTGTTAAAAGCAGATCTAGTTTTGGAAAATCCGTTGGAGCTTCATCGTGTAAGTCTTCATATTCAAGACATAAATGACAACTCTCCACAATTCAAAGATCATTTAATTGAAATGGAAATAAGCGAGTTAGCAGAAAGGGGAAGTCGATTTCCAATAGAGCAGGCCCATGACGCAGATATAAGTCAAAATGCTGTGCAAAGGTACATCTTACAAAAGAACAACCATTTCATTTGGCTGTTGAACAACAGTTGAACTTGTACTGAAGAATAAACTTCGATCGAGAAAAGCAAAAGGAGATTAATTTACTCATCACAGCTTTGGAGGTGGATCTCCTCAGAGATCAGGTACCTTAGCTATACACGTCACTGTGCTTGGATGCTAATGATAACGCCCCAGTGTTCAGCCAGCCGTTTATAAAGCCAGTCCTGCCTGAAAACTTCCTTTAGAACACTTAGTGATTAAAGCAGTAAGCCACATGATGCAGATGAGGGAGTAATGGAGATGTGACTATGACTTGGCATGTGATCTGACAAGCGAATAAATGTTTTTCTCATTAATCCTAAAACTGGAGAAATTAAAGTACTGGTGTGATTGACTATGAAGAAAAAAGTTTTTTTGAAATGAGGTAATGAAGCCTAAAGATGGTTTAGGACTAACATCTTATGCAGAGTTATAATGATTTATACTGATGTAATGATAAATACGCATCCTTAGTTACATCTGAAACCTGACAAATCCATACCTGAGAAGTGCCCACCTGGTACAGAGGTGGGCATCATTAACGTGCAGGACAGAGACTCTGAGGAATAACCGACAGGTCCGCTGCTCCATCCAGCAGGGTGTCCCCTTTAAGTTGGTTCCTTCTATTAAAAACTATTATTCTCTGGTGACCACAGGACAACTGGACCGTGAACTAGTGTCTGATTACAACATTACAATCACTGCCACTGACGAGGGCTCTCCACTCTGTCCTCTTCTAAAAGTGTTCAGTTATCTGTAGCTGACATCAACGACAACCCACCTGTGTTTGAGGAACAGTCGTACAGCGCATATGTGAGTGAGAATAACAAACCTGGGCTCCACTTTATGTTCCGTTAGTGCTCGAGACCCCGACTGGAGACAGAACGGTACAGTGGTTTATTCTCTGTTAGCTGGTGAGGTGAACGGTGCCCCGGTGTCCTCCTATCTGTCTGTGAACGGAGACACGGGTGTGATCCACGCTGTGAGGTCGTTTGATTATGAACAGTTCAGGAGTTTTAAAGTCCACGTGATGGCCAGAGACAACGGTTCTCCTCCTCTCAGCAGCAACGTGACCGTGAGTGTGTTCATCTCAGATGTGAATGACAACTCTCCTCAGATCCTGTACCCCTCCCCAGAGGGCAACTCCTTCATGACCGAGCTGGTCCCCAAAGCTGCACACGGAGGCTCTCTGGTGTCCAAAGTGATCGCGGTGGACGCGGACTCCGGACAGAACGCCTGGCTGTCCTATCAAATAGTCAAATCCACTGATCCGGGACTTTTTACCATTGGTGTCCACAGCGGAGAGATCAGGACACAGCGGGACATTTCTGAATCTGACAGCATGAAACAGAACCTTGTAGTGGCAGTGAAAGATAACGGACAGCCCTCTCTGTCTGCCACCTGTTCCATGTATTTACTTATTTCTGATAACTTGGCTGAGGTGCCAGAACTGAAGGATCTGTCTTATAATGAGAGCAATTCCAAACTGACCTCTTATCTGATCATCGCGCTGGTGTCTGTGTCCACGTTTTTTCTGACTTTCATCATCATCATCCTGGGTTTGAGGTTTTGTCGCAGGAGAAAGCCCAGACTGTTGTTTGATGGAGCAGTTGCCATCCCCAGCGGTTATCTCCCTCCTAATTACGCAGATGTTGATGGCACAGGAACTTTACGCAGCACTTACAATTATGATGCGTACCTGACCACAGGTTCAAGAACCAGTGACTTTAAGTTTGTGACATCATACAATGACAACACGCTGCCTGCTGACCAGACTCTGAAGAAAAGTCCATCAGACTTTGCTGATCTTTGGAAGATCTCGACTCATGAGGTAGGATGCTGATATGGGATCAGTAACCAGTGTTTTGTTATGTCTTTTAAGCTTTTACATTTATAGTATTGTCTTTGAAGTCCATCAGATTTTGCTGATGCATTTGAAGAATCAGATGTGTCTCTAGAGGTATGACTTATTTACTGGCGTTAAATTTATAAATCTGTTGGGGGGATAAATTTCCACCTTAACCAATCAAACTTTCTTGTATAGATATTCGGAATCTTTTTTATTTTTTTAATTCCATATATTTTGTTTCATTTAATATTAATGAAAGCAGTCATATTGTAGTCAGATACTGCCGTAGTAGAAACAGTGTCCTTAAATCTATTTTTATGTCACTATAATGCATTTTAATTTTCTCTTCTGAACTATGAACTTCAGCAGGTGTATTAGAAGCTGCAATTCATTACATAATAGAAAGATTTAGGGGAATGATAATTAAGAAAAAAACATTCGGCTATAGAAATGGAAAAAGAATTTACTTTATTTGTCAGGTTTTACTTTTTCCAAGTCCAGAATTAGAAATGAACTTTTCCCATTTCAAAAGATGTATTAACCATATAATGCCAGAGAGAGACTCCAAAGTGATGGAGTCTTTCTCTGGCATTATACTGTTCATAGAAGTTAGTAATAGATATCAAAAGCCACAAAAATTCTATGCAGAAGATATTGCTGATATATGAACTATCATAATTCAGATTGACATGTTAAAGTTCAAATTGCTGTTTGTTTGGTTTTCTTAGGTTCTTAACTCAACAAATTAAAAAACAACAAAGTAACAAACACTCACCTTTCCATGGACTTCATAACCTTCCACCAGGTTGAAAAAGTGTCATCACCCTGTCCTTTAGAGATTCACTTACAGTACAAGAATGCTTGTTGTTTTTAAAATCTACGGTATTATTCAGATGGTAATTCTCAATAGTAATCATGGGTTATTTCCTTTCCAATGAGGTTACATTTGCCCGTACTGATAAATGGACCCTCACGAATTAGGAAAGCACTTGATTAAGCTCAATATTGTCATTCATTTTATTTCTCTGATGAATATTTGCCCTGGCTTGTGATTTGTGGATGATATTTAAAGTTCTTAAGTTGATTTTTCATGTTTTTATACTTCTTACTCTACCCGAAGATTAGTGCTTATGTTTGTATTTACTTTACTTATGCATTTTCCATTTTTTAGGGAGAATGCGCACCAGTGAAATGGTAATTGAACGTGGACGTTATTGGGACTACTAATTTTCTTTAGTAATGAATGTTTTTACCAGTCGAAAAATGTTGCCTACCCAGATCAGTATTAAAATATAAATTGACAATACGTTTAGCTGTAACCCCCCACCCCCCCCCCCTTTTTTTTTTTAAAAGAAGTGTGCTGTGTGTGCTGTGGTCATAAAGGAATCAATGCGTTGTCTGCAAGTTAAATATTTCACGTGCAGACAACGCATATGAACTCAGAGGTCGCTGTTTACCAGCAGTGGAAACATACCTCCATCCATAGCTCTTGGTTTGTTAGTGTTAATGCAGTCTTGTCATTGTCAAACTGTCCCTTTGGGTGTGCTTTTGTCCACCATTCTCTGGAAATATTTTCGATTATAACTGATGTGAAAAGAGCGCACTTGTTGTCGCACTGATACAGTTTGGACTGTTAAACGTTTTCGAGTGTTTTTCTTTGTATTTTTTGTCCAAAGATGGCACACAGTAGAAATTCGGTGGCGGGCCTGCTATACAGCTTTGCTTTCTTTCTTCAATCCTTTCTCTTCGGCTATGGAGATGTGAGCTATTCTTTTCCCGAGGAAATGATGACCGGATCTGTCATAGGAAATGTAGCAAGGGACCTCGGACTGAACGTGGGGGAATTATCTGTTCGAAAGGCCCGCATTGACAGCGATCTGAACCGTAAACGGTATTGTGACATAAATCCAAGCACTGGCGATTTAATTGTAGCTGAGAGGATTGATAGAGAGGCTCTTTGTGGCGAAAAGGCATCTTGCATCCTCAAATCTGAATTGGTCTTAGAGGCGCCACTTGTGTTACATCGAATTTCATTACAAATACAAGATATCAATGACAATCAACCTGTTTTTGCGAAAGACGAAATAAAAATAGAAATCAATGAATTGGCTGTAAAGGGATCCCGTTTCCGTATTTTGGAAGCACACGATCTCGATATTGGACAAAACGCTGTTCAAAGATATGTGTTGCAGACTAACAGTTATCTAGTGCTGAAAATGCAGACTAAATTAGATGGAGGCAGATTTGCTGAACTAGTGTTGCAAAAGGAATTGGATCGCGAGGAACAGCGGGAATTCCGATTACTACTTACTGCATTGGATGGGGGCAGTCCTAAAAGAAGTGGCACGACTACCGTGCATGTAATTGTCTTAGACGCTAACGATAACGCCCCGGTTTTTAGTCAACCTGTGTATAAAGCCAGTCTTCCTGAAAATTCTCCTTTATATACTGTAGTGGTTAAAGTGGCTGCAACTGATGCAGATGAAGGTCTAAATGGTAAGGTGACTTATGAGCTGAGTCGTATATCAGAGACTGGCAGAAGAGCATTTGATTTAAATCACATCACAGGAGAAATAAAGGTAATCGGACCTTTGGATTTTGAAGAAGAGTCCGTTTATGAAATGCGTGTAGATGCTAAAGACGGATATGGTCTTACCTCAGACTCAAAAGTAATAATTGAGCTGTCAGATGTAAATGACAACCCACCTGATTATTAAAAGTCATTGTCTAACCCATACCCGAGAACGCGTCACCTGGTACAGAGGTGGGCATCATTAACGTGCAGGACAAAGACTCTGAGAATAACGGACAGGTCCGCTGCTCCATCCAGCAGGGTGTCCCCTTTAAGTTGGTTCCGTCTATTAAAAACTATTATTCTCTGGTGACCACAGGACAACTGGACCGCGAACTAGTGTCTGATTACAACATTACAATCACTGCCACTGACGAGGGCTCTCCACCTCTGTCCTCTTCTAAAAGTGTTCAGTTATCTGTAGCTGACATCAACGACAACCCACCTGTGTTTGAGGAACAGTCGTACAGCGCATATGTGAGTGAGAATAACAAACCTGGCTCCACTTTATGTTCCGTTAGTGCTCGAGACCCCGACTGGAGACAGAACGGTACAGTGGTTTATTCTCTGTTAGCTGGTGAGGTGAACGGTGCCCCGGTGTCCTCCTATCTGTCTGTGAACGGAGACACGGGTGTGATCCACGCTGTGAGGTCGTTTGATTATGAACAGTTCAGGAGTTTTAAAGTCCACGTGATGGCCAGAGACAACGGTTCTCCTCCTCTCAGCAGCAACGTGACCGTGAGTGTGTTCATCTCAGATGTGAATGACAACTCTCCTCAGATCCTGTACCCCTCCCCAGAGGGCAACTCCTTCATGACCGAGCTGGTCCCCAAAGCTGCACACGGAGGCTCTCTGGTGTCCAAAGTGATCGCGGTGGACGCGGACTCCGGACAGAACGCCTGGCTGTCCTATCAAATAGTCAAATCCACTGATCCGGGACTTTTTACTATTGGTGTCCACAGCGGAGAGATCAGGACACAGCGGGACATTTCTGAATCTGACAGCATGAAACAGAACCTTGTAGTGGCAGTGAAAGATAACGGACAGCCCTCTCTGTCTGCCACCTGTTCCATGTATTTACTTATTTCTGATAACTTGGCTGAGGTGCCAGAACTGAAGGATCTGTCTTATAATGAGAGCAATTCCAAACTGACCTCTTATCTGATCATCGCGCTGGTGTCTGTGTCCACGTTTTTTCTGACTTTCATCATCATCATCCTGGGTTTGAGGTTTTGTCGCAGGAGAAAGCCCAGACTGTTGTTTGATGGAGCAGTTGCCATCCCCAGCGGTTATCTCCCTCCTAATTACGCAGATGTTGATGGCACAGGAACTTTACGCAGCACTTACAATTATGATGCGTACCTGACCACAGGTTCAAGAACCAGTGACTTTAAGTTTGTGACATCATACAATGACAACACGCTGCCTGCTGACCAGACTCTGAAGAAAAGTCCATCAGACTTTGCTGATGTCTTGATAATCGAGACCTGAGAGAGGACATGTTTTTAAACTAACTAATTTAACGTTCAGTGTAATGTTATGCACTTCAGCTCTTTCTTCTCAGTTCTTTAAATCTTTTTGTTGATTCATACGAAGGCATTCACTGGCACGCATTTTCTTGATATTCCTTTTTTTGGCACAGCCCTTTTGAAGTGACTGATGTGCACGTTTTGTTTCCAAATGTCACTAGTTATGCAGTTATTTTACTGGCTTTTGCCATTTTAAAAAGATATTAAATGATTAAAAATATTTTACGATTATTACTTGTCTGCAACTTGTTGAATTATAACTTTAGTCATGTTTAAGTGAAAATTGTCAGTCATCACAAATTGACATTCTGAAATACTGAGTGGTCAATAACATTTATCAATTTAATTATCAGTTAATTCTCTGTAGGACAGTGTGCCTAATAAGTCCATTGCTTGCTGTTAGATGTGAAGTTCCACTAGTCAGTTTGATATTTTGAATGTAATTCGTGTAATCACGAGCTCGTTAAACTTGTACTTATGCTACAGATGAAATGTTTTAAAAAATAATTTTAGTACATTTATAGAAACTGTTGTTAAGTGATGTTTACTAACTACGTTTAACACACTTCACATTTACTTAATTAATGGAAAAATAAACAAATTCTCTCTCAAATTTCAAGACCACTTAGAATATTGATTAATTTTGTCCGTGTAAATTGTGTGTCTACTGCAAACGCCTATTAGATGTTGTAGTTCCAGGCGTTTTTTAATCTTCAGACAATAGACTAAATGAAATTATTATTCTTTTATTCTTCGTTAAAAATTTCTTTCACTCATTTTCTATGCCTCATGATTAAACATCCTGTTTTTTTCTTTTGCGGGACTTTAGATTCTCCAATAAATATTTGTTTTTTTTAAAATATAGGACTAGTGTTATTTTAATGTGTTTTTAGAAAAGTCCATCATGTTGTCACTTTCAGAAAATTTAAATGAGGGAAGTATGTATGTCTTTTCCTCACCCTTGAAGCGCTGTCTGTGGTGCTGAATGAAACTTTGTGCTTTTTTGTACTTTAACACAAAATCAAAGTCCAAACTTGCAGGAAAAATCGGTTTCTTTTGTGAATTAAAATTGGCAACAAAACGATTACGGTGGTCGTTGTGGCTGTAACTGTGGCATTTTATACTAGCTTATAACATGTTTATTTGTAATATCTCAAATTAACTCACAGCGTCGCTGCTCACTAGCAGATGTGAAGAGGTTCAATTCCCCACCCACTACCAACGAAGATATTAGTCTAAAACTAGAGCTACCATTGTTGTAGTCGCGGTATACGCTGTTTTGTTATCACTTTGTGTAATATTCCCAGCGGAAGGGGCATTTTTGTATTCGTGTCATTTTGGGTGAAAAAATGGCCCTAAAAAGACAAGCCTCGCTCTGTTTTGTGTTCGGTTTTGCTCTGTTTTTCGAGATAACCGCTGCGGACCTCAGCTATTCTGCACCGGAGGAGATGAGACCGGGATCCATTGTTGGGAATATTGCCAAGGATCTCGGCCTGGAAGTAGCAAAATTGTTCACTCGTAAAGCCCGGATTGATACAGAGGAAAACTACCAGCATTACTGCGACATTGACCTCAAGACTGGAAATTTTGTCATCAGGGAGAAGATTGACAGGGAGGAGCTGTGCGGGGAGAGGCTTTCGTGCATGCTTAAATTTGAATTAGTCGTTGAGAGCCCTTTGGAGCTGCACCGTATTTCACTGCTTATTCTGGATGTAAACGACAATTCACCAGTTTTCCCCAAAGATACAGTTAAGTTGGAAATAAGAGAATCAGCAGTTAAAGGAGCTCGATACCGCGTCAATGAAGCACATGATGTAGATATTGGGCAGAACGCAGTCAAAGAATACAGTTTACAAAAGAATGACCATTTTGTTTTATTTGTTCGAGAAGATGCTGATGGGACTAAGAGCATCGAGCTGGTGCTAGATAAAGAGCTAGACCGCGTAAAGGAGCACGATTTAAATTTCATCCTGACTGCAGTCGATGGTGGAAATCCACAGAGGTCAGGAAGTGCCGTTATACACGTTACTGTGTTGGATGCTAACGATAACGCGCCAGTGTTTGACCAGGCCGTTTACAAAGCCAATCTACCTGAAAATTCAAATCTTAACACTTTAGTTGTAATTGTAAGCGCAACTGATGCAGATGAAGGAGTGAACGGAGAGGTGTCGTACGAATTTAATCGCATCACAGAAAAAGCTAAAAGGGTTTTTTCACTGGACAGTAAAACAGGAGAGATAAAGGTCACAGGAATGCTTGATTTTGAGACAAATTCAAAATATGAGATGCGTATAGAGGCCAAAGATGGTTATGGGCTTTCATCCGACGCTAAAGTAATGATCGATATCACCGATGTTAATGACAATGCACCAGTAATATATATAAAGTCACTAATGAACCCCCCTGCAGAGAACGTGCCGCCTGGTACAGAGGTGGGCATCATTAACGTGCAGGACAAAGACTCTGAGAATAACGGACAGGTCCGCTGCTCCATCCAGCAGGGTGTCCCCTTTAAGTTGGTTCCGTCTATTAAAAACTATTATTCTCTGGTGACCACAGGACAACTGGACCGTGAACTAGTGTCTGATTACAACATTACAATCACTGCCACTGACGAGGGCTCTCCACCTCTGTCCTCTTCTAAAAGTGTTCAGTTATCTGTAGCTGACATCAACGACAACCCACCTGTGTTTGATGAAGCAGTCGTACAGCGCATATGTGAGTGAGAATAACAAACCGGGCTCCACTTTATGTTCCGTTAGTGCTCGAGACCCCGACTGGAGACAGAACGGTACAGTGGTTTATTCTCTGTTAGCTGGTGAGGTGAACGGTGCCCCGGTGTCCTCCTATCTGTCTGTGAACGGAGACACGGGTGTGATCCACGCTGTGAGGTCGTTTGATTATGAACAGTTCAGGAGTTTCAAAGTCCACGTGATGGCCAGAGACAACGGTTCTCCTCCTCTCAGCAGCAACGTGACCGTGAGTGTGTTCATCTCAGATGTGAATGACAACTCTCCTCAGATCCTGTACCCCTCCCCAGAGGGCAACTCCTTCATGACCGAGCTGGTCCCCAAAGCTGCACACGGAGGCTCTCTGGTGTCCAAAGTGATCGCGGTGGACGCGGACTCCGGACAGAACGCCTGGCTGTCCTATCAAATAGTCAAATCCACTGATCCGGGACTTTTTACTATTGGTGTCCACAGCGGAGAGATCAGGACACAGCGGGACATTTCTGAATCTGACAGCATGAAACAGAAACCTTGTAGTGGCAGTGAAAGATAACGGACAGCCCTCTCTGTCTGCCACCTGTTCCATGTATTTACTTATTTCTGATAACTTGGCTGAGGTGCCAGAACTGAAGGATCTGTCTTATAATGAGAGCAATTCCAAACTGACCTCTTATCTGATCATCGCGCTGGTGTCTGTGTCCACGTTTTTCCTGACTTTCATCATCATCATCCTGGGTTTGAGGTTTTGTCGCAGGAGAAAGCCCAGACTGTTGTTTGATGGAGCAGTTGCCATCCCCAGCGGTTATCTCCCTCCTAATTACGCAGATGTTGATGGCACAGGAACTTTACGCAGCACTTACAATTATGACGCGTACCTGACCACAGGTTCAAGAACCAGTGACTTTAAGTTTGTGACATCATACAATGACAACACGCTGCCTGCTGACCAGACTCTGAAGAAAAGTCCATCAGATTTTCTCGAGGCTTTTGGGGAGTCGGACGACCCTCCCCAGGTAAGAAAAGACTGAAATAAGCTTCTTTTTGAGAAACGTGTGATGTCAATCTCTACATCATATTATCCAATTTCGAGCAACCGTCTATTTCAGTTACATTTTTTTAAATGCTATTATATCAAATGTTCTTAAGTAACATTCATCAAAGGCAAATGTTTAGTTAACACCCCATTCACAATTAACTTGCCAGAACATATTGTCAGAAAATACTCAACGATTATTATTATATTTTTAATCTTCTTATCTATCAGATCAGTTTTCTTTTAGGTGTTGTTGCTTCACTGGCATCAATTTACTTTTTTATCTAATAACTTAGTATGTTATATGTCAATTAGAAATAGTTTAATTATATTGTTTTGTCTTCCTAATATTTTTCTTATTGAAAGATGAAAAAGTTTAACTGTCTACTTACTTTTTAGAACCCCATCCCTTCTTTAAGATGTTACTTGTTTTTTACTTTCAGCAATGGATCATCTTCAGATTAATTATTATTGCACTCTCAGTAGATAATTATCTGAGTAATAACTCTCTTTGAACACATACCGTAAGGCCATAAACAGACATAAGAAAAGCCAAAAGGATTCTCCCAGAAAGCTTTAGCTCATCTGTTTATGGAGAAATATTTAAAACAATAGTCATTGTGCTTTCAGAGGAGGATCATTGCTTAATACAAGTATATTGTGTTTCTTTTTTGGCAAGTCTGCTAAAATTGCCCTATACTACATGCATCCCTTGAATAGTTTGATTCCAAGTTAGTACAGTTTTCCAAGTTTATTAAAGTTATGTTTTAACTGCGACCAACAGTAATGTGCATGCTCTTTGGACTAGAGGTGCTGCCATATGACTAATGATTTGTTACTTTTACTTTTCTTCATTTAAAATGTTGTAACATACTGGCAAAGACTGTATTTTTCTTTTATACAAACTGAGCGTAAGGACTTGTTTGAGTAGACTCTGTCCATGGTGCTGAACACATAGAAGGCAACCATACGGAAAGTAGTTTGGAGACAAATTTTACATGCTGCTATTTTCATTAAAATTTACTTGCAGAGAAAATGTTAAGTTTAATCGCAGTTTAAGCTAAATAACACAATATTGCAATTTTGTAGATAAATGCTAAATACTGCGTTCACTGGCGTTAAAACAACGTTATAAGTGTGCACTGCAACACGGTTTTACTTACTTCCATCACAGCACTTAACAGATTCTTTGATCCTAGCAGAAACTGTGGCTGTAGTTACTTGCTTTAATGAAATTAATACAATTTAACATATTAAGGTGCTTAATTGTGTTTATATGGGAAATAGTTGCATGACGTCATTAACCTGTCAATCTGGTATTTTACCAGATGTTCTGTCTGAAATGAACACATCGTGTCGCTGTCTACCAGATTACTTTGAAACATTGTAACGTCAACGCCATCGTCTCCACCCATTGTTCCTGCGCTTTGTGTTGGAAGGAACCATTGGATTGCAGTGCTGATTTCTGTATTTGGATTTGTTTAATTCACTCCATCGCAAACGCGTTCGAGAGATGAACTAACTCCGTTGTATCTTTTCTTTGCTGGCGGATGTTTCTGTTTTTGTAATTATGGAATACGGTGGATTTTTAGAGCCTGGCCTGATTACCCTCTTTGTCGTCTGTATACTTGCGCTGCAATCAGTGTGTACTGAAGTAAGCTATTCTATCCAAGAGGAGCTGAAACCAGGAACTG